TATGATATGATCATAATCGTCGCAATCATCATCTGGAAGAAAGACTCCAAACATGACTGGATGTTTTCGCAGAAGAGATAGTTTCATCCAACGACAAAAGTCTCGATATTGTGCCGGATCTGAATTCTTCCAATCCCATTCATCGTATTTGAAATGAAGTAAACTAATAGTACGGAGTGGGTCACGCTTATCATTGTCTGACATTCGTTGCAAAAGAAATTCACCTTTATTGATGTCACGAATGAGACCTTGAGAAATCCAAGCACCATAGTAAAGTCCTAAATATTTCCAGTAAACTGCAAATCTTCAAAAGTTTTCATACTCTAGAAATTTTGCATGTTTCTGACTCAATTAACTTTGAACAACGAAAATTCACTCTACTTGTTATGTGCATATGAGGAAAACTATCATGATAAACAATGAGAACTTACCAATACATTGAAGAGATACTTCACCACAATAGCCATTTCCATGATCCCATTGGAATCGAGGTGATATATCAAGTAGAACTGTGCGTTGAGGAGGTTCCTCGTCTTGCTTGGATTGTACACATGTTTTGTTTGTTATCGACATTGCTTGAATTGAGTGATAGGATCAACAACTGAAATGGAGAATGTTTAAACTCAGTTTCTGCCTAAAGAATACGATTAAATTTATGAATTTCTGACTTATTTTTACATTATATATAGATAAATATGCATTCTCACTTATTATCAATGATTCATATAAAATTGTGTCGTTTCGAAAAAAAATTTTGTATATGAAATTAATTCTTTATCGTGGATGATAATTTGAAATGAAGATCTAAGTGTATCTTGGACTGATTTCACTGAATTTTATCTACAAAGATTCTCGCTTTTATTTTCTTCTTTAAATGGTCTGTAGAAAGCGGCAAGCCTGTAAGAAGATGATTATAAAAGCATTAAATCTCACTATTTTTTGTTTTCTGTGTAAAAAGGACGCGAAAATGCGAAGCAGCGTATGCAAACGTTTTGTATTGACACATGACAGTATCAGTAATGAATCATGATTACACAAAAAGGTAGGCTAAATCCATAGTTTAGTATTGCATAAACTTTTTTATGACATCATAATGTGTCATATACTTTCAACATCAGGGAAAAAGCTTACGAAAGAGTAACTTCACTCTGCTATCCAACGCTACTCAATGTACTAAAATATGCTCGTATTTCAAGTTTTTGCAAGCATCTCAATTATGCTTTTTACTCATATGAATAGTTCGATCAACATGTAGAAATGAGTGTGTGCATCTGGGTTAAAAAAAGCAGATCAATCAAAATGATATATTGTATAAGAAATAATATTTTCGATTTTTATTTCGTCTTCAGAGAATAGTTCATCGACAGTAAAGATTAAATGTCACAGCTACCCACACCGATTTTCAAAAATGGACTTTACATTTTTTTTTTCAGAAGGAAACAGAATAGTCTCTTTGTTGTTCTTCACTTTCTACACAACATAAACAGAACGAAAAACGATGCACTTTTTTCATTTTATTTATGACTCATTTCATGTAGCCTAAGACCACCACATCCTTATACAATACAATTCACTTTTTTACAATTCAAAGTGTTGAATTCGTTAAAAATTGGATGGTAACCAGGCATGAAATATTAAGTAGTACTTCTGTTTTATCTTATTTTATGTTGGAATCAACAAAAATTCCATCTTTATGAACGTGAGATAATATTCATTGTTCTCAATCAAACTCATCCTTTTGATTTAACACGAAGTTATGAACCCATGCCTACTCATAAATATATTTCGATAGTTGGCTAGTTGAGTGCGTACAATGAAGAATGTAGCCATACCCAATTTCGTAATTTCTCAGTCCAACTAAACCTTCTTCCGAATTATTTCGAGAACTCTAAATTGCACCTCAAAATAAAATCAGCAAAATTTTTTGCGCATTCTGTTTTCTTCCTTCGGAACTTTCAAACGTCTATCAACACGACACAATGCGAATATGTAAAAAATAACAAGCTAGCAGTAAAAAAAAATATGTATTTGAATATCTTCAGCTCACCAACACACACACTAATAGATGCTGGATGTGGGTGTAAGTGTAGGGTGTTAATTATCAGTTCATCTTCACCCACACTCAAAGATTTTTAAGAAGCGAGAACAAGAGAAAAAAAAATTCAATTTTTTGCCAAAAGACTTTTCAAATATGTTTCATCATTTTACTTGGTAAAAATTAATAGAAAATTTGAGCAAGTCATTTTAGTTTACTCTTTCTTT